CCCCATCTTGAGAACCTGAAACACACAAGAAGAGGGATAAAAGGTTATAGAACAATTAAGTGACTTGGTTAATCTACTAACAGACGTGAGGTTGAAGGGAAATTTGGGTACATATAAGACAGAGGATAAAGATAAAGAAGTGAGATCAACATCACCAACACCACAAACGGGAGTGGTATAACCATTAGAAAGGGTAACTGTTTGGGACATGGAAGACTGAGAAAGAGAAAAAAACACACCTGGAGTCCCAATCACATGATTAGAGGCTATAGAGTCAATAATCCAGTGTGAGAGTTTGGATGCCAAGCAAGTTATACCTGAATGTGCAAGAGTAATTGTGTTCTGTTGAGAAGATGTTTCTCATACTCCTCACGTGGGACATTGAAGCACCTGTAGATGTAGAGGGTGTCTGATTAGCCTGCTGGTTCTCACTAACTATACCACCACCACCACTAGTCACTGCATGATTGGCCCAAGTGTTGGGTGGACCATGTAGAGGGTGTCTAACCCACAATATGTGTACCTCCTAGGACCAATACTCCGTCCTCTATCGTGACCTCCCCCTGAATCTCGACCTCCACTGTGACCACTAGTATGATTGAACATAGGACCACTTCGGGTCCCTGGAAATCCACGACCACCTCTATTTCCACGACCTCCCCCTCTTGCCACCACAAAGCTTAACCTGTCCGCGAGAGTGGAATGCTCCGTAGGTTCAATAGAAATCCTCCAGAGTCGGGCAAACACCTCCTCAAGAGAGGGGAGAGCAGATCCGTCTAATATTTGTGCTCGAACAGGTTCATATTCAGATTTTAAACTCATTAAAAACCTTGTCACATCAAGTTGTTCTCGTTGTTGCTGCTGAGTTTTGACATCCGAAGTCAAGGGTGATATATATTAGGCTCATTAGGGAGATTTCTCATGCTTGCATAGTACTCTTCTAGACTTTGATTTCCCTGCTTAAGGTTAAAGTACTCCTGATAAAGTTGGTACACTCGTAGTGTTATCTTGGCCAGAATAAAGTTTCTTAGCATGGTCCTAGATCTCCTTAGCCGTATCCAAGAACATAAAATTCACACTAATTTTAGACTCCATGCTATTTCACAACCGGATCATAATTTGTGCATTCTCTTGTTCCCACTCACTAAACCCTGGAGATTTAGAAGAGGGTTTCTCCTCCCCTCATATGTTTCACCTTCTTCTTGGCTCTCAAGAACACTTCCATTGATTTAGCCCATGGCACATGGTTCTCACCATTTAATTTGATAGAGGTCATTTGAACATTCAGATAATTGGTGGAAATCATAAAACTAGTCTTATTATCACTACCCTCTCCAGCTGTTGCCTTTATAACAAAATCACCACACACCAAAAAAAAGGTTGAACTACAAGAGACAAAAGTCTAGCACTACACCGCACACCACACAATGAAACATTGTTGTTATGACACTGCTGCTGTCATAGGTTCAGCACCAGAAAACCCTATTGTTACCACACATATTCAGACATAAATAGAGAGAAAAACAGTCCATATGCATACTTATCAATCAGCATTGACACATGGATGAAATCCAGTCCAAGAGGGAGAGAACACTCTACACTATCAGCTGACTAGAGGGTTCTTTTCACACCTGTCCACAACCAGTCCTCTTTGAGTCATCGATTAGAGGGTTTCTAGCAAACCACCACAATGACCACCACCACAGCAACTGGAGGCATAGTTACCTCCAAGAAGGAAAAACGACTACTCCTTTTTGGTCCCTTACCGATCCCCCAATTAGTTTGGGAGTTATTTCAAAAATAAGTTCTGAAATGGCGATCCAAGGAGGAAGGAAAGAAGGACAAAAACTGAGTTCTAGACTAATTTTCTAGTGCTCTGATACCACTTGAATGATTCGATTACCACTAGTTCAGTCCTAGGTATGAAAAGAGTTGGGTTTGGAACCACCTTTAAAGGGAGGTAACACCTCGTGCCTCCTCTTAGGGTGCTTCATGCTTGTACTATTTCTATCTCTATTTAATAAAATACCATTCATTCATCAAAAAAAAAAAAAGAAGCGAGGAGAAGAAAAACGGGTTCGGTTTGAGAAGAGGAAAAGTCAATCACCTCTCAGCTGACCCACCTTATATTTATACTCTTTGCAATAGACTACAAAAGACAAATCTGTTCCTCATTAAGTATGGGACACACAACTTAAACCCAGACAAAATAGACAACTTGTCCTTAATTAAATAGATAAATGACCAAACCACCCTTGTACTATCGATTCTAACAGCAAGGAAGCCTTGATTGAAACAATAATATTGAGAGTGGCACACTGGGCAAAAGGCATGAAGTTGTTCTCAGATTTCAAGGTTGAAGGTTTCTTAGAGGGCTTGGGGTGTTATTGCTGCCTCTTCATGCCTCTTCATCTACAAGACAGAAATCTGTTGAGACATGGTCTCCCCCATTAAATTGCTGGAAGAAGCTGAACTTTGATGGGAGTTGTGTGGGTAGTTCGGGTCCCTCAGGCATAAGGGGGGCATTAGAGATGTTGATGGAAACATCATTGCTCTATTCTCTGGTCCTGTGGGACAGGGTGATGTGGCAAGGTCAGAGTTTATGGCTGCAGTATATTGGGTTGAAAAGGCAAAAGAGCTGGGTATTAGCAGACTGATCATTGAGGAAGACTCGAAAACTGTGAACTGTGATTAAATGGCTGCAGAAGGGAGAGGGAGTGACATGGCAGTTGAGAAATGAACTCAGAAGATTTAAATGGTTCCCAAAAGGACATGTCAATTTGTGTGAAATGGGTGAGGAGAACTGCCAACAGCTTGGCAGATTAGCTAAGCAAGGGGTACAAAGAACACATCTGTTTTGGGCTTAGCTGTAGTTTTGGTTTGGGTCAGCTTTCTAAAGCTGGGTTTCTTTCACAACTTATTGTTGTTACCGATTTTTTTTTTCTTTTAATCAATGAAATCTTGTGTTGCTGAGCAAATAAATAAATAAATAAAAATCATGGCTGCTATTGTTGGGATGCAGAAAGCTAAGGAAATGGGAATCACAAGGCTGGTTGTGGAAGGGGATTCAAAGATCTGTTAGAAGGCCCGCTGATGGTTTGGCGGATGGACTAGCTAAGCAAGGAGTAAATAGAAATCATTTGTATTGGGCTCAATTATAACAAGATGATGGGATCTTATTGTTGTAAAGGGTTTCAGTTCTAACATCTTTGTAATATTTTTCTCTTTAAGTTTTAATAAATTTTCTGCGTTTCTGATAAAAAAAGAATTAGTAGAGAAAGAGAAATAGAAGAAAGACAAGAAATATTGCACCTTTAGAAGATAAAGGAGAGTGAAAGATCATATGTTCACTTGCAGGTAACTTCAAAGCAAGCCTTTATTCCATTCATACAACTCTAAAATATCAATCACAATGACTATTATAAGTTGGATATAAGGGCTTGGATCTCCCTTATAAGCTCCAAATTCAAGTAGGAAATTGCTCCAAAACTATTTCTAATTATCTGAAAACTAAGACAAACCCACACTATAGTAAGGATTCCAACTCCTAAAACAACTCTAACCATCATTGGTTATACTGAATCCAAAAAAAATAAAAAACATCTCCAAAGACCAAGAAAATAGGAAGATGCAAATCCTGCCAAAAGACTTACACCCTAGAACTCAAATGATAACAACTTGCTCAAATCACATCCAAGTTACAAGATCTTGGACTCATTGGCTAGATAACTCAATAACCTATCAAATGGAACAAAAGGCATGCAAAAAGACAAGTTTTGGTCCTTAAAATAGACTGAACAATGGTGTAGTTGCATTTTTTCATGTTTTAAATAATATAAAATCTCTATAATTAAGACTCTATAAACTAAATTAACCTTCTAAAATGACTAACCCTATTCTTAACGTACTAATAAACTAGAAATAAGTTTGAAAAAAAAATAAATCTAAATCTCCTCGAAGCTATGAAGTTGTTATTGGTTCAAATATAGAGTAATTTGGTTTCTTTTTTTATGGTTTTTTCCTTGCTTTCATGGTTTAATATTTGCTGTCATGCTCTAATACTAAACTGATATAGGACAGGCAGGTTTTGTGGGAGTTAAGCAGGCTGAAAATATAAAGTAATTTCTCAAGGAGATTAATTGTAGCTTTAGCATGGTTTATCTGAAGCTATCTAATATGTGTGACTTGACCTGTAAACATTTATTTTTATTTTTATATTTTGGTACTTGTAAAGTTTTTTCTTTTATTCAGATCGAGCGATCTGCTTATGATACCCAGATACTTCTACATGCCTATACCAGTTTTGCACTATACTTACCAGATATGATATTGTATACATGGATACTTCTATACGTATTCCATAGCATTTACACTTCCAAAATATGTAAAATGGTGTGTTGCTGATCAAAACCTATGTAAAATGGTATGTTTTAACAAATAATACTATAAAAAATAGTATGTGTTAGACAAAAGAGACAAGATATGGGGCTTTACAGTCTACCAAAATCATGCAAAACATGCAAGTTTTGTATCTGATTGTTATGGTAAAATAAAATTTATTAATAGCTTAAAGAGACAGATAGGGGGCTTTGCAGCCTAGGGGAAAAAGAGAGCTCCACAAGTAATTATACAAATTCTAATCTCCCATAAATTCTGAAATTGCCACTAGTTCAAGAATATGAAGGAACTTTTCTTCAATGGTTTCTTTCCTTGCTTCCATGCTGAGGTGCTAACCTCATGGTGTTCAGAAAATCCATGAATTAGAGAAAGGTAAAAAAGCAAACTGAATTTTCCTTGAGATTCATGTTGCAATTATGTAATTGCCACCGTTAATATACATTTAAAGAAATTCTTGATGCTATAGCCATGGAGATGCCTTTCTACTCCAGCAAGTTGGGGAGTATGTCATTTGTGCAATTTAACAGTTCTTTCACTTTCCCAATTTCATTGTTAACAGTTCTATTGCATCATGCTTGATTTATTTATTGTCGGTACTTCAGGTTTGCTGGTCTGGGAGCTGGACTTGCATGGGGAACCATCAAAGAGTCTGCTAAGAGACTTGCCTTTGGAACAAATTCACAAGACAAAGAATATTTTTCACCATTTTTATCTGAGCAGAATGCTGAACGTTTGGCTCTTGCACTATGTAGAATGCGTGGTGCGGCACTCAAATTGGGGCAGATGTTGAGTATTCAGGATGAGTCCCTTGTACCTGCTCCGGTATAGCAATGCTCCTTCTGTACATTCTAGTCATTTATCTGTACATCCACCCCCCAGAAAAAAGGGTTTCTGTATGTAACTATTGTTTCTTACTGCAAATCCATGTATACACTAAAAGCGGTAAGCATTAATGTTTTTCCCCTGTAGTTCCAATGCCTTCTGATTGCAAACATAGTATGGAACTTCAAATGGGAGATAATTCTTTAGTCTAGTTTAGTCAACATGTTACTAGATGATTACCTAGCTATTTTGGAGGATTGTCTACCAATCAACTAGGCAGGTGGTATAGATATAAACATCTTAGTGGAGGCAAATGGTGGCACATAGTTAATTTGCCTTCTTTAAATACTCATTCTTGTGAGTAAGCTCATGAAATACATGGGGTTGAACAGAAATTCTGCAAGAGGCTTTAAAAACAGTTTTTATGCACATACCAACTAATAAAGAAGTGTTTGAGGACTATAGAAGATTTGAAGAAAAAAAATCATAAATCATTCAACAATTGTTTTATAGTGTTTAAGTAATTATAAAATATAAGTGAAGTAAATGATGACATATAACTGATATTTATAATAAAATAAACAAAAAACTATAGAAGAAATAGACATCCTTCTTCATAGGTAACTTTAGTTTTACAATTGTAGCGTTATCAAATATTTGTATACAAATACTTTTTTTAATCAGCAACAAAGAAAAATTTTCACTAAAATTAGATAAAAGAGGTACAACAAGAAGTTGTGAAGAGATACAACAGACCCAAAGGGATAAAAGTATCCCAGAATATTACAAATGAGCCCAATACATAGATTGTCTCTGAACCCCTTGCTTAGCTAGACCATCTGCCAAATTGTTTGTAGATCTTCTAACCCAATTGACTTGAATTATCATTTCCTTTGATAGCTACTTGAACTGTCTGAAGTCATTCCTTAAATTCCAAGTTATTCCTTCACCCTTTTTCAGCCAGCTCACAATTGTTTTCGAGTCACCTTCTATAATCAATCATTCAATACCCAATTCTTTTGCTTTCTCCACCCCAAAAACTGCTGCCAAGAATTTTGATCTGAGTATATCACCTTGCCCAACTGAACCTGAATACAAAGAGAGTATGTTCCCTTCCTCATCCCTTATTACCCCACCGATGCCTGATAGTCTGGATTACCCACACAACTACCATCAAAATTCAGCTTCTTCCAACTGCAAACTGGTGGTGACCAAACCGCAGAGGCTTTTTGTCTTCTAGAGGAAGAATAAGCTATTGCACCCCAAGACCTGAATAGATTTCAACCTTGAAATCAGAGAAGAGATTACAGGTTCTAGCCCAGTGCACCACTTTTAGGGTAATTACCTCAATCAGTGCTTTCTTACTTCTTTCTTTGCCTTAAAAGATCCTTTGATTTCTTTCTTCCCAAACTAACTATATCACCACTGCTTTCGTGCATCTCCCCAAGGTCCTACTCCTCTTTGTGTAACTAAAAGCATACATGCTAAACAACCCTTCCAAGCTAACAGAAGGGGACTACTTGCATCTAAAGAGAGAAGAAAACCATTTCCAAATACAGACAACAAAAGGGCAGGGGATTAAGAGATGAAGAGCAGTCTCACCATTTAACTTACATAAAAAACACCAGCTAGGGGACATTCTCCAGTTTGGTCTTTTCCTTTGGATCATATCACAAGTGTTTATACAACCGTGAAACACTTCCCAACAAAAGGCATTGACTTTTGGTGGGGGGGCACCAAATTTCCTTCACAGGAAAAGGAGACAGGGAAGAGTGTATTGTTTTGAAATGGTAACTTTCACCAAAACAACTTATAAAAACATACAATGTCTATCAGCCAAACGTTGGGCTTTGATCTGATCAGAGTAAACCTTTTAATCTGTAGTCCGGCAGAAGAAAAAATAAAATATAAGAAGAAAAGAGAGAAGGAAGAGAGAAGAAGAAGAGAAGGAGAAGAGAAGGAGAAGTTCTTATTTCAAAAGATATGTGGCTGGTGGCACCTAAGCTAGTATTTATACTTAGGGCAACAACTTATAACAAATAGAGGAGGAAATTCCAGAAATACTCCTAAGCTAGTAGATAACATGTTACAACACTCCCCCTCAAGTTGGAGCATATATGTCAATCATTCCCAACTTCTCACATAACTCATTATGCTGCAAATAGTGAAGACCCTTTGTAAGGACATCAACCAATTGTTCCTTGGAACTAATGTAAGGGGTACAAACTTCCCCCTTTTCAAGTTTTTCCCTTTATGAAATGCTTGTCAACTTCAATATGCTTGGTCCTGTCATGAACAATTGGGTTGGCCACAATATTAATGGCAGCCTTGTTGTCACAGTAGAGAGACATTGGACCATCAACAGAGAAGCCCAACTCTCCAATCAAATTCTTTACTCAAAGCACTTAAGCAACTCCATGTGTCATGGCCCGATACTCGGCCTCAACACTAGATCTAGCCACTACACTTTGTTTTTTGCTCCTCCAAGTGACCAAGTTTCCACCAACAAAGGTACAATATCCACTAGTTGATTTTCTATCATCAACTGCTCCGGCACAATCTGCATCTATGTAGACCTCCACTTTCATATGGCCATATTTCTTGAAAAATAACCTAGTTCTTGGATATTTCTTTAAATATTTGAGCACTCTCTCAGCTGCCTCTAAATGGGAGGTTGTTGGTGCATGCATAAATTGACTAAGGACACCAACAACGTAAGCTATATCTGGCCGAATCATTGATAGGTAGAGAAGTCTTCCTACCAACCTTTGAAACTTCTTGACACCTGGTACTGGTTCTCCAGTACAATCGCCAAGACAATGGTTTTCATCAATAGGAGAATCTACAGGCTTTGCTCCTACCTTTTCTTGTGTCTTGTAAGAGATCTAGGATATATTTCCTTTGAGAGTTGAAGATGCCTTTTTGAGAGCTTTAATACCGAGGAAATAACGTAGCTGTCCTAGATTTTCACCTCAAATTGCACAACAAGGGATTCTTTAACTCTCTAAATCTTAGAGTCCCAATTCCCCGTAATCACAATGTCATCAACATACACAATCAAGGCCACAACATTCTTTTGGTTCCTTTTGACAAATAAGGTATGGTCAGACTGGCATTGCTTGAACCCAATTTGTTGAAGAGCCAAGTGAAATCTACTGAACCAGGCCCTTGGGGATTGTTTTAAACCATATAAAGAATTTTTTAGTTTGCAAACTTTCCCTTCACACCCTTGTGCTACAAACCTAGGAGGCTGAATCATGTATACTTCTTCTTCTAGATCCCTATTCAAGAAAGCATTTTTAATGTCTAGTTGGTGAAATTCCCAAACAAAGTTAACAACCAAGGGTAACATAATTCGAATAGTGTTTATTTTAGCAACTGGGGCAAATGTTTCTGCATAATCAACCCCATACACCTGTGTATATCCTTTTGCAACTAACCTAGCCTTATACCTCCCAATTGACTTATATGCTTTGTGTTTTATGGTCAATACCCACTTGCACTCCACTAGCTCCTTGCCTTCAGGAAGATCCACCAACTCCTAGGTGTTGTTTTTTGTGTAAAGCAAAAATTTCTTCCTTGATTACATCTGTCCATTCAGGTATAGATAAGGCTTTTGCAACACTTTTGGGAATGGGACAAGAAGTGGGTAATAGGATGCTCAGTAGTACATGATTTAACACCCTTTCTATGAGCAATTGGGACATCAAGATCTTTGGTAGAATCATTAATAGCAATAGGTTCAATAATGTCAAGGGGAACAAGGGTACCTGGATTTGCCTTCAAGGAGTCAGATGATGCTAGATGTATAGTCTCTAATTGCTCCACATCCTTTGAATTCAGCTGTCCCTTACGGCGCCTCACAAAAACACAAAAAGGAAAGGAGTCAGAAATAGAAGGGAGAGAAACCTGTGGAACTTGCCTCTCCTCCACACTATTCTCCCCCTAAAGAGAGGCTTGGAAGAAGGGTTCAAATTCAAAAAAGGACACATCCATTGATACAAAGTACTTATGTGTGATAGGATTAAAGCATTTGTAGCCCTTCTAGGAAGATGGATAACCCAAAACAACACATGGAATAGACTTGGGGTCCAACTTACCCCGGTTTGGAGATAGGTCATGAACAGAGCACTTACAACCAAACACATATAGAGGTAGAAAATAAAGGAGATTGAGGAAAGAAAAGTTGATATGGGGCCTTGTATTGCAAGAGATGTGGTGGCATACGATTGATAACATAAGCTGTGACCATCACAACATTAACCCAAAACCGTTTCGGAACATTCATGTGTAGCATCATACTACGAGAAACTTCAAGAAGATGTTAGTTCTTCCTTTTGGCAACACCATTCTGTTGTGGTGTTTTGCTTCTATGAAGAGATCTGTGAAATGAAAAAAAAATCAGCTAAGTCATGATGAAAGTATTCCTTTGCATTATCCGATTGGAAAATTTGAACTTCAACATGAAATTGAGTAAAGACCATGCGGTGGATTTTTTTCACAATTCTGGGTACTTATCTGGAATGCATAGTATATATCCAAGTGTATCTAGAGTAATCATTAAAGAAGCTAATTAAATACTTATACCCACCCTCCGTGTGTATGTTCACAGGGCCCCAAACTTCAAAAAAAACATGGAAAGGAAAAACAGATCTTTTATTATTTGATGGAAAAGTTATTTCACAATGCTTGCTCAATTGACATGTTTCACATCGCAATCTAGTGACAAACACAAATTTAAAAAGTTCAGGAAACATAATTTTTAAAGACTCAAAGGACAAATGACCAAGGCGATTATGCCACAACCAAACTTGACTCTTAGTAGACTGACTCACTTACTGACTCATAAGACTCATAGGAGCTGATGCCGTAGGACCAGCTTTATTCTCCAAAATGTAGAGGCCATCAACCATATCTCCTTTACCAATCGTCCTCCCTGAGGTTAAATCCTAAAAAACACAAGGACGAGGAAAAAAATGTTACACAACGGTTTAAGGATTGAGTGATACTAGTTATAGACAACAAATTAATAGGAAGTTTGGGAACATGAAGGACATGGGGCAAAACAAGGCCATCAAGAAGGGATACAGATCCTTGACTAGCAATAGTGGATAGAGACCCATCAAGACATCTCACTTTGTCCCTTCCAGATAAAAGAGTATAGGTCTGAAATAAACTTGACTTACTAGTCATATGGTTTGATGCCCTTGAGTCAATGATCCAAGTCACATGAAATTTGACTTACCAATCATATGGTTTATTTTAGTCATAGGTTTGAAATAAATTTGACTTACCAGTCACATGAAATGCAAAAGCACCTTTACCTGATGTAGAAGCAAATGAAGTAGAAGGGGTAGGATCCAACCTATCCATCTGTCCAAGAGTCCTACTACACAGTTTCAAATGATCTTTGGAAGAGTTAATTATGTCTTCCTTAGGGTTAGAACCACCAGGATGCTCTTGGGAAGTACCAATAGTCAGATTATTTGATTGGTAATCTTGTGCAGCTAGATTTGTAGAGGTAAATTTCTTCTGAGGATGCTTCTTTGATGTGTCTTGATTCTTGGTTGCCGACTTGGGCTTCCCCACTTGCTCCTAACAGGTTTCTCGAGTGTGTCTAGGCTTCTGGTAGTGAGTACACCACAGTTTGTCCTTGTCACCATTTTTCTTTGATTCTCCCTTTTGTATTCCAATGTTACCCCCTCTTGCAACCAGAGCAACTGGTTGCTCCCCCTCAAAAATATTCATTAGATTTTTTTTGCTTTCTTCAGATTGAACTAAGGCATATACCTCTTGAACTGAAGGAAGTTATCTACTTCCTAAGATCTATACCCAAAGAGGTTCATAAATAGGATTCAGCCCCAACAAGAAAGCAAACACTTGTTGTTGGGAGACAAGTTTTTTGTATGCTTTAGCATCCTCATCATCCTTCCACTCAATAGTTTGGTAATGGTCCAGCTCCTTTCATACAGAGGTAAGGGCTGAATGGTATGTAGATAGGCTATGGTCTCCTTGCTTACAAGTAGATGATTCTGCTTGGAGCTGATAAATCTTGGCAAAATGCCTCTATTCAGAGTAGGTTGCCTTGGCTTGTTCCCACATCTCACAAGCTGTATCAGCCCATATGGAGTTTTTCTTTACATGAGGCAGCATGGAACCTAAAAGCCATGACATAACCATACTGTTTTCTTGGTCCCATCTATCATGTTCAACCGTACTAGATTTTGGTTCTTTAATCTTTCCACTTATGTAGCCAGCTTTCCCCCTAGCTGTGATATAAAGTTTAATGCCTTTGGACCATTCCAGATAATTTAGACCATCAAAGGGGGTAATAGTCATAGAGAAATTCATGCTGTCCATCCCCCTGTTAAGGTTTCCTTGAGGGGAAGTAATACCAGAGGTTGCTGAATCCTCAGTAGCCATTTTGCCAATGTTTTACTGCTGATTTTCCAAGAATAAACTGAAAGAAGATCTGTACTTCTACAGCACTGTTATTGGTACAAAGAGTAGGCAAACCAACCACCCAAACAGAGAGCAGCACACTAACCAAGGAGGACAGCAGTACCTCCACCACCTGTAATTTAAGAAGGGCTCCAAAAACAGTTTCAGCTGGACCGTAGGTCAGTAAACCCTAGCTGAAAAGCACTTCTGCTTATAGGAAAGGAGACAACCAGCTCCTACAACCCCAAACTGTGACATTCACAGTAGTGACACACTTAAATGTGAATGTAACAGTACATACCTGGAGTACAGTAGTGATTCCATGACCCACAGTCCATAAAAAACTAGGTGCAAACCCTAGAAATACTGCTCTGCATTCGGCTGTCACCACAATTACCACAAAGCTTCTTCTTGGTGCAACGACCAAGAGAAAAAAAATAGGAAGACTAAAAGGCTAGGTCAGTCCGAATGAGTTTTTATCTTCCTCTTCCAATTGAAAAACAGAGTTTCAGATGGAGAACTCGATCTGATAAGATTAGGCCCAGATCAGCGCTCTGATACCATGTAGTCCAGCAGAAGAAAAAATAAAATAGAAGAAGAAAAGAGAGAAGGAAGAGAGAAGAGAGAAGGAGAAGAGAAGAAGAAGAGTAGTTCTTATTCAAAAGATCTGTGGCTGACGGAACCTAAGTTAGTATTTATACTTAGGGCTACAGCTTCTAACAAATAGAGGAGGAAATGCCAGAAATACCCCTATGCTAGTACATAACATGTTACAACATATGCTATGCCAGATAAGTTTGCATCGCTGAGTGTTACCATGCTTTTTTGGAGCTTCAATTCTCTGATAGATCATTTTTTTACATGTATCGGAACAAACTATTTGTTTCTCCCTCCAGTGGGACCAGCACTAATCTTTTCCCTAGTTGAGGTTGTTAGCATGACACAATGTGAATGGTTCCTAACATGTTCTGTTCTGGTCTCTCTCTCTCTCTCTCTCTCTCTCTCTCTATCTATCTATCTATCTATCTATCTATCTATCTATCTATCTATATATATATATATATAACAATTCGATAGTTGTTTGTGTTGAAATTTGACAGATGGTTGTCATCTTGATAATCAATTTAATCCCATTGAGGTCTTGACCTTTACTAACGTAAATGTGGGCCTTAAAAATATTATTGCTATTTTGCTCCTGATGTACTCTAGATGTCTTTTATACACCTGTAGATTTTGGCTGCTTTGGATATTGTTCGTCAAGGTGCAGATGTAATGCCCAGAAGTCAGCTGAATCAAGTGTTGGATACTGAATTAGGTCGTGAATGGTCATCAAAGCTCAGGAGTTTTGATTATGAGCCAATGGCTGCTGCAAGTATAGGCCAGGTGATGTTCAATACTAGTTTTATTTGTTTATTTGACATCTGAGTAATAGAAAGTTAGAAACTATGAAAAATAATTTGGGCTACAATAGCTTTCTTATCTGTCACAGATGATGTGAAAAACTGACTGCTTTTGCTCTTTCTGTATTTTGGTGTTAGTTACTTTCTCCTTTGTTTGTTTGGATGTATCTATGTTAAAGAAGTGTGAGATCTTCTATGTCAAATTATGGATTTTGGTTCCTTCAACCATTGCACCACCAATTTGGAATCCCCTTCAATCACCACATTTCACAGATTCAATGCATTTATAATTTTAAATACTTCCTGTATAGGCAGTAATTCAGCTCTACCTGACTTACCCACTCTTACTGGACCTGAAAACAAAACAACAACATTTCCTTCTATGTTTCTCAATACTCCTCTTATTCTAGAGGGTCTTGGATTGCCTTGACTGCTTCCATCAAAGTTTAACTTGACAAAACCTTCAGGAGGGGCCTGACAAATCACATCCACTTTTTCTTTCTTGGAAGAACTTTTAGATATCACTTCCCAATTTCTCCAAATATCACCAAAGGAGAACTGGGCAAATGAATCCAAGGTTCTAATCCAATGTATCACCTTGGCCATTACACAATCTCTCACTGTTTCTTTGCTTCTCTCCTTTATGAAGATTCTTGCATTCCTTTCTTCCCAGATGGTCCAAATTACAGCAGCCCTCACACACCTCCACATGATTCTTCCCCTTTTCTTAGGTCAAGCAAAAGTGGAAGGATCAAATGGCATATTTTCTTTTGTTGGTTGATTCCACCTACACCCAAACAGAGAGAAAAACCAGTCCCAAATATCAACAACAAAAGGATAGGAGATTAGAAGGTGGTAACTACTCTCACTATGGATTAACACAGAGGGCACCAGTTTGGATATACACATAGAGGGGGTCTTCTTTTTTGTAGTATATCGGTATTAATCTTCCCGTGCACCACTTTCTAACAAAAAGCTCCAACTTTAGGTGGAATGGATCTATGCTAGGCCTCCCTGAAAGGAAAAGCAATGGGAAGGAGCACAAATAGACTTAATCAAGACGCACAAGAAAAAATACCTTTTGGGATGGGTGGTCCAAATGCGTTTGTCCAATTCAGAGGGGTCCACGCATAATCAAGGAGCTAAGCAACCTAGTCAATGAAACCAATTCATCATCCCTTAAACCTCTATGAAAACTAAAGTCCCAATTATGAGCCATCAGAAGTATAGGATGGGCAATGAATTTTGAGACAAATTCATTTTTGAACAAGGACACCAAGTATAAACAAGGAAAATGATCTTTTAGAGGAGAGCAACTGTTCCGAACATCCTCCAAAAAACAAATTAAATCCCAGAATGGGCATAATGCTTGATAAAATTGAGAATCTAATGGTGGATGCCATGAATAGCCTTCCTAGGTGATGCCAAAGTAGCCCAATAAGATATGCTTGCATCCCAACTAGTACCCAACCTCCCATGTATGCTTGCAACAACCTCATGCCATAAAAGGACAATCGACTCTGAGATTGTTTTACAAAGTAATCAAACCAAGGATCCTCTGATCATATTGAGAGAGAAAACATTTAACAGAAAACCTAGGGGTTCTGGAATGTGTTTATAGGCATAAATTAGTTTCAAAGGCTCAAGGGTTGATTGTTGATTATGTTCTTGGATTCTCAACAACTACCTATGTCTCTGTTCAAGAACTCCTCTTTTGGTTTTGAGCCAGAGAGCCAGAGATTTGGTTTTGCTGCTTGGATCTGTGATGGTTTCACTGGAACAAACAATTGGTATCCATGGGATGGAAGGTGCAGTAGCTATCAAAGACAATGTATAGGTAGAGGCATTGTTGAAAATTTGGATCTGTTGAGTTTTGTTTTGAAATTTGAAGAATAATGGAGGGCAAAATTGACCACAAAAAGGTAATATTAGGATTTAAAAAATTCTATATGTCGCATGGTGTCGCATGTGAATGGATTGTAATGGAATGCTAACAGATGTTAATGGCAGGGGAGGATTTAGTCATTTGTCAGAATGAACTCCCCAAAAAAATGATGTCTCAATTCACTGATCATTCTAATGTTGTAAATCACTTTCCGTTTTTTCCTAATTATTGTTTGAGTTCTATGAATTATGATATTTTGTTGGAAGGACTAGTTGGAAGTTATTTTTGAGCTCATTATTCTTGTCATGTTTTGTTGGAATGTCAACTTTATTTATTATGTTTGTATCCTGCTGAGTTAGGGTCCGTTTGGACAAATTAAAGCAGTTTTTTCTTTTGTTTTTTTTGCTGTAACTTAAGTAGGGGCATAAGGGTCCTTTCCCTTCTAATTATGGTCACCCTATATATATTAATATAAGCTGGCGCCGCCAGCACTGTAGTAGACTCCAAATCTCTCTCTTTTCTTCTCTCCTCTCTTCCTCTTCTCTTCTCCTACCTCTCCTCCTCTGTTCGGCTGTTAATATGGTATCAGAGCGGTTCTGCTAGGCCTGTGAGCAGATCGAACAAGCATCAACCTGCTGTCTTCTTCAATTGAGATAAAAAAAGTGCAGACCTACGACTGGTACAGATTTTTTTAGTGTTTTTTTCCTTTTCCTTGGTCGTGTACCAAGAAGAAACTATATGACTCCAGACTGCTGAATGTTTTCTGAGAAGCTGTGAGGTTTGAACCTCTTTTTTTTATGGATCATGTGATCCCTTGTCTGAGAATTCAGATCTGTAGGTCGTGGATGACCTGATCTTTTAACCCTTGTGGTGTAACCATACTGGTTTATGACCCTAAAATCTTTTAACCCTTGTGGTGTAACCATACTGGTTTATGACCCTAAAATC